TATGCAATGTTTACATGAACTATGTTTCTTTAGGAATGCATGTCACCATGTAACGTGTAGTGATTGATGCATTTGATTGTGGACATTATCAATATGCAAAATGCAATCAACACTGTATTTTTAAAATAAAAACTTAGTAATTGCCCTCTTCATAGGAGGGAGTTTGCCGAAAATTAAAAAGAAAACCCAAAGTTAAAAATCATATATATAATGGATTCAAAATCATAACAACTTTGAAAATACATAACAGACAAATTGAAACTATCATTCACGCGTGCATTCACGGCTATTCTCTTATGCTTCAAAACCGGCAGGATTTGGTTCATCATCTCTTGCTGCAACAGTGTTGCTGGCAGATGCAGCTGCTTCTTCACCTTCGTTTGTCACTTGTGTGAGAATGTAAGCTGCATGCCTAATAACACAGAGGAAAGACATTCTCGAAGGAGGCGTCTGGCTTTTGGCAAATAGATAGAAGAATAGAGGGTGTCGGTGTATGTGCATTGGACTCACAAAATTTTCTTTTATAGAGTTTGAATTGTTCTTCTGATTTTAAAATGAATAAAGTTTGGATCGTAAATAAAAGGAGACGGAGAGTCGTGGGAGTGAATATGTTTAATGAGAACAAGAGATTCATTAAACATGTGAAATCAAAACGTTGAAATAGGGTAAGCAAGAGATGTAGATGAAGAGATAGGGGAGGTAAAAGATGAAGGGGAATGTTTGATTTTCTCAAACAATGGATGACACACTGAATTTCAATAGTTGACGGAAGAGTTAAATAACAGAAGAGACGTCTCATGACCTAAGCCTAGACGCATAGTGTTGTTATCTTTGGCTAAGTGCTTGAGAATGGGCTTCGAAATATACATTACAAATTCACACCAGTCCACACATAATTATACCAAATCAAAACACATCGATAACATGGTAGACCGGATGGAATAACACGCGGATCCTACATGAGTCTTGAAACTCAACCATTATAATATAGTCCCTGCGCAAACGCGGTTTCGGAGATATAATTGATGTATTCTATAATTTTATTATATCTTTTGATGTTTGACATATAAGCTGGACCGAAATAGCGTGTGAAGTCATTTGTATTACTCAATAAAGTTTTCAAAAGTTATATATATCCGCAAACATTATGCAGTCTTGTTAAATGTCAAAGGTTCTTCTCAATCTTCTCTAATTCTCATAAATTCGCCATTTTTTATATTCTAAGAATCTCATAAACGGAGGCGACAAACAACCATAAACTGAGCAGTTCGACCAAAGTAAAGAGAATCAAAAGTTGAGACGCATGCAACGACTTTAGCAACCGAATCAAAAGCTGAAGTTATTTTCGAGAAGATGTGATAATATTTGACAGGAAAAAGAATTAACGAGAGAATCAGAGATGAATGATTTCTCTGTTTAGATATAATATATATGAAGCGTGATGCAGGAGGTATTATGAACATGGTTCATTATTACTTAACAGAGTAAATGCGTACTATTATGCAATCTTGTTAAATGCCAATGTTCTTCTCTTTCTCATAAATTAGCTTTTTTATGTTTCGAGAATCCTAGAAACGGAGGCAGCCAAAGTAGAAAGAATCAAAAGTTAACAGGGATGTAAAGGTTTTAGGCCTCGATTAGTACATCGGATAATAAAATAGTACTTGTATGTTGTAGAACCACTATATTGTAGAAGATGTATGCTCTTACTAAATTTTTTAATAAAGTGATTGATAGAACATTAGCAGTATATAATTTTACAATTATCATAAAATTTAGTATATAATATATATTTTTTAAATAAATATATATTTATAATATATTAGTACATTTTTGTAATAAAAATAATGAATCTTCTTCAATTACATAAATGGTTTTATATTTTAAATGTGAAATATTAATATTTAAAATATATATATAAAATTTATTTAAAAAATATAAATTTATTTTTTCATATAAACATAATTTTAATATTATTACATAAAATAATAATAATTTATATTAAAATTCTATATAATTAATTTATTATTTTATTATTGGTAGCGGATTAAATGATTAATCTATTTATTTTTAAATAATATAAATATGTTTATATCTATAATAAATAATTATATTAAATTTAGGTTTGTTATTAAAAATAATGATTGATATGTAATTATATAAATTATATAAAATTTAAAATGTGAATTACTACTTTTAAATTAAAAATATTAATTACATTATTTGGAAAATAATTATGTATAATTATTATTAATTTTATATTTTCTAAGAATAAATGATCTTCCAAAAGCTCTATATGAAACCTTTAAGAAAATAACATTTGGAGAACATTAGCATCTTGTAAATGAATGTCTAAATGGTTTTCTCATAAATGTTGATTGGATAATAAGAGTATAATTCTTATGATAATACTAACAATCAATCCATCAACATTTGAAGATGAAGTCATTTCCGAGAAGATGTAATAAAATTCATCTAGAAGAAGAATCAATGAGAGAATCAAATATAAAGGATTGCTCTGTTTAGATAGAGTATATTAACCATAATACTTATGATTGTGGTCAATTATTAATCAACAGAATAAAAAATAGGAGATGTAAAGGTATAGTAAGAAAAACTGATTCATGAAAATAGAAACACTCACTCTATGAATATGAAAATCTAGCGAATTAATTATTAATCAGGAATACCCAGGAATTAAATACTTTATTTTATTTATAAAATAACTATGTACTATAGTCTATTATTCTTAAAATATGTCAAGTATCGATAGTAGTCTTGTGGTAAAGACTTTTTTTGAAAAGTAAATAATCTGGTTCGATTCCTGATCAATCCATATTTATTTTTCTTGCAGTGAGACCCATTATGCTAACTTTGTATGCCCTTATGCTTTGTCTTTAGTTTTGGCACCTCGCTACGTATTTTTTGGTTTTGTCGTTTCGTCTACGGTTTGGAGATTGTGATCCCGATTAAGAAGGGTTTGATATAGATATAAGCATTTCAATGAGGGTTAGTGGATCCATGGATTTCATTCAAATTATTATAGGCGATTTCAGTTATAGGTTTGAATGATTGTCTCGATTGTGTCCTATTTTATTTGGTTTAGATAAAGTCTTTTGTAACAAGGTGGATAAAGAGACGAGTCATTCTGATTGTGTTATGTAGAATGAACTCATTATCATAGTCTTAAGAGTACAATGAAAAATCATTGAGTAGTATGGAAACCTTTTTCTTTGTCACAAAGTAGTATGGAAACCATAAATGTGTTTTTGGTGACATAACTTTATATCTACAGTGAAACCTCTATAAATTAATAATGTTGAGAATACACTAAAATTTTATTTTTTTATTAATTTAGAGAGATATTAATTTATAGATATAATAATTGAACCAAAAACTTAATTTGAGACTATAAAATTATATTCATTTATAAAGATATTTAGTGTATATATTAATTTATCGAGTATTAAAATATAGATGTTCTACTGTATGTGGTTGAATCTCTAGTGAGATCACAAAGTCTTTGTATCAATTTATGGTGAATGAGGAGTTGAAGTTGAGTAAAAAAAAAAACACAATAGCCAAAACAAAAATTTCATAAACAGATTTGTGGGCAAAGTAACTAGATTTGAATCTCACCAACGGTCCATTAAATTTCAAAGTAAAAGTGTTCCAAGTTGGAACACATTATGCGTTGGTCAGAAAAGTGTTACCTCTTATTTTAAGAATTAACATATGAAATATTTTAATCTCACTTTCTCTTGCGGCCTTGTTTGAACAACTCCTTAAACTATTTGATGATTTAAAACTTCAACCGTTAGTGATAACTCGTTACGGAGAATTATAGAATTAATGAAATTGAAAACGCTCATATAAAAAAATAAAGAGAATAATTCGTTATAATTTCGAAATGCTAAAAAATAGAGTATTTGCATTCTATACACACACAACCTCATAATTCACTCCATATCCTATTTCTTTCTTTATCTCTCCTCCCCACACATTACTATTTTCTCCACTAAAAATGGCAAATCCCTAATTTCCCATTTTCTTATGGATTTCTATCCAATTCACTCAAAATTAAAACGGCAGCAAAGACTTCGTTTGTTATGGTCAACAAAGACAGTCCAGCCTTGAGCATATGACCATGCATAGTTGTTTGTTGGTATATTTAAGTATTTCCAGTCCCTAATTTCCAGCTAGCTATTTATCATTCTTCTTCTTTGATCAGTTTGATTTTATTTATCATTCTTCTTCTTTGGTCAGTTTTTTGATGTGTTAAAAAAAAATAATAATAATACTGTACTATTTGTAATACAGTACTGGAATGATCAAAGAAAAAAAGAAAAAAAAACAGTCATAAAATATTAATTCTTTTCTTTTGTAGTGGCGTTGGTGGTCATTTTCACAGTTTGGTGTGAAAGTTGATACAAGCCTTCCCTAATTTCAAGAAAACACTTAAAACGGCTACCTGAACCTTTAATAACATAAAAACATTATAAAGTGATTCTTGAAGGAGTATATAGTATCAATGACAATTATTCGGCAGCAATAATATAAAATGCGTTTGTGTGACAATAAAAAATGTTACTTCTTACAATTTATAGAAATTGTAAACTTCTAGTATTATTATAAACTAACTTTGATTTTCTTAAAGCAAAAGTTATTAAAAAAAATCTAATTTATGTAACTCGTTTTCTTTTGAACTCTACTCTGTGAATGAACACATAAATTTATAATTAATCGAAACAAAACTAAAGTAAAAACATTTTTAAATATAATTGTGAGGTTGGAAAGAAAAAAAGGATAGTGGGTGAGAAAGAGTGTGGGTTGGGCCAATAGACAGCCAATTTGCCAGCTGCAAAAGTCTCATTCAATTGTTGTATAAATAGACAATACCATCCCCACAACTACAATCATCATACATAACAACACACACAAAAGAAAGACAAAACCTCTCTTCTAAAATCTTTTTCTTATTCATACATCAACCCTAAGCAATGACAATGAAGATGATGGCTGTTTTCGTAATCGTTGCAGTGGCTTTCTCAGCCGTAGGACAAGTGGCGGCAGCCACCGTGGAAGCTCCGGCTCCAAGTCCAACTTCTGATGCTGCCATGTTCGTACCAGCATTGTTTGCATCTGTTGTTGCCTTGGCATCTGGTCTTCTCTTTTGAGCCGAAACACATTTATCATTCTTTTTCTTTGTTTTGGTTTATTAGTTTTATTGTTTTTGTCAATGAGTTTGTGTGTGATTTGATTATATTGTTATAGAGTGTTGTATTATTCTTAATGTAACTATCTATTTCTATGTGCTTGTATGTATCAACATTCTTCAGACTGTTTATGGATTCTTTTATCTTACAATCCGTCCACAAATCCATCATAACTTGTTAATGGAAGTTACAAAATATCAGATTTCATTGATTTGGGTTCACACAAAAGATCAATAAGATAGAAGGGATACTTGGTAACTGTCCAAGAGTTTGTGGGAATCAATTATGCGATGAGCTGTATTTGGAAGGATGTGTGGGGGGCGCTAGGATACCGACACTCACCATCATCACATCATCATCATCATGGTGTTACGGTGCGGGGCCTTAAGCCAACATGAGTTTCCATGTGACTCACCACAGAAAGAAAGCTAAAGATGACCCCACAAGACAACCTTATTTGCAATGAAAAAGGACATGTAAAATGTGAAGCCATCTCCCTAGAGATTAAGTGTTTAAAATACATAGGAACCCAAAACAAACCACCCAAAGGGATAATATGTGAGACGTTTCAGACAAGAATCTCTTAAAAGCCATGTGATGCATAGAAGAGATAATGGGACCATACCAATTCGTTCATTTCCTGATAATCACAAGTTCGGTGGTTAAAGACAGGCACTGTTTTAAATCCTTTATGAAAGCAGAATTAAAGATAAATAGCTTCCCATCATAAGAAACAGGAGCAGCTACGTAAAATAATCCAGAGTGACTCTCGAGTCTTAAGAACCTAGACTGTTATCAGAATCTTCTGATGCACAACTCGTACAACAGTCTGGACCCATTAAATCACTTAGGGTCTGACTGGTTGAAACGCGGCGGTTGCGATTGCGGTTGCGGGAGTTTGCGGATGTGGGTGGTTGCGGTTTCTAGCGTTATTAGGCGATTTGTACGACTGGTATAGCGATTAAAAACTGGTGCGTTTGCGGGACATTTATGACTGGTTGATTATGAGATACTACAGCGGTTCAATAATAAATTTCCAATAT